CTATTGGTATTTTAATTAGCACCCCAAGTGATTTATCCACACAATGAAATTTCAGCCCTACTATTTTAACACTTATAAGCTATATAGTTCCTATTTTCCAGGATCCTAAAGATTAAGGAGAGAGGTAAATCATGTGTGCAAATTAATATAGCAAAATGTATGAAATGATTAAGTACTCTAAGGAAGGTTCAAGCAAATTCCTAGGAAGTCTGGGGCAGAAGATATCATTTATACCCCAAAGTGATCGGTGAATTCTTCAAGCCAGAGTTAACCCGATTTCCCATGAAGGTGTGACTAGAAGAAAGATTTCAGCTTTCCTTTGCCACTTTGGCCAAAGCCAGTCTTCCCAGAATCATAGGTGATTGTGTGACCCTATTGTGGTCTCATGGCAGCAACTAATGCAGCATTTACCCACCATGGAAATCATGGGTCTTTTATTTTTAATGTGCAAAATCCTGAATCAAAATCCTTTCTTCTTAACCATTGTCAGAGTGCTAGGTTCCCAAATCTCACCATGAAACTCAAAGTCCGAGAACTGAGTTTGATGCTGCATATGCTCTGCAAATAATGCTTCCCTGAGAGTGTGGAAGTGGGATGTCTCTGTTTCTGGTTCCTGGGGACAGCCCGAGTACATAAGACAATATAGGAACATGTTAGTAACTCAAAATGTTATCCCACTGTATTGATTATTAAAGAACCATTTCTTTGTTGTATCATTTGTTACCCATCTCATTTCAATAATCCCGACACCATAACAACCCATGGTGAACTCCTCAGTCACCATAACAAAAATGGACACTTTCGTCTCCTAACCTGTAATAGATGCTGATCTAAATGCCTCAAATATATTAACTCATTCCCTTGTTAATTAATTCAAGCAGTGAGGGAAAGTTCACAAAAGGCAGAGAAGCAAGACCGTAAGGAACCACAGCCTCCAGTTCAGAGATGTTTGTACTCGAAGGTCTGGTCCAGAAAGTTCTCTTCTCCTTTGACTCCTGGCATCTCGCAATTTGAAACACCCACGAGAAGTTCTGTGATATTTCCTACCATCTTGCTGCAAATGGTATCCATCTGGTTCTTGTTCATATTTTGCCTCAATAGAGCAGAAATAGAGTAAAAATACCTAAATCCTATAAATCATCTAGGAGACAAAGTAAAATGTTCTAAGAAAAGAAGGAGGGGGATGTTTCTCAACAAGTATCCCTGTTTAATAAACATTTAAAATGAAAGCTGTTAGAGGGCTGAAAGTTCTTCATATTTCTGGTAAATAAAGAAGAGGGGGAGTAAATACTGGCCAAGGTTGGCGCTTCCTTAGGTTCTTGCCAGCGAACGTGGACCCCAGTAACACACCTGTAACTTTAAGTGTGTATTTCCTTATTCCCATCTGAACAGGCAGGAGGCTGGATATAATTTGAGAACCTGCACATGTGAGAAGAGAGGCTATTCCAAAAGGTGGGAACAGTTTGGATGAACAAAGGCATCATCATATTTCCATCAACGCCATTGCTCAACCTTTATTGGATTTTACTATGTTTCAGATAATGCAACCTTATTTATTCTACACAGAAAGCCTACAGGATAAGTATCACTCCATTTTACACATGGTGATCCAGAATTAGAGGTTGAGTTACTTCATTAAGGAAATGCAAATCAAAACCACTATGAGATGCAACTTCACACCTACTGGGATGACTATTATAAAAAAAAAGTTAAAACACAGAAAATAAGTATTGGCAAGGATGTGGCCAAATTAGAACACTGTACTTTGCTGATGGGAATGCAAAATGGTGCAGCTATTGTGGAAAACAGTCTGGTGGTTCCTCAAAGAGCTAAATATAGAATTACTATATGACCCACAATTCCACTTTCCAGGCACATTTCCAAAACATTTGTAAACACGGACTCAAACAGATGCTTGTATACCACTGTTCATTGCAGCATTATTAGAGGAAGTAGTTGTGAGGATATGATCACTGACTGACCCATGAGCAGGACCTGGGCAATGGGAAGCTGTCCTTGGAATGTACATTCCAAAATGGGAGCTGTTTTTCCAGGACACAGCCTTGAGAGAGCAATGTGCTATTGAGACCACCTGGATGGTATACGTGATCGAACCTAGTTAAGGCCTCTATATAAGTGTTTAAGATTCAGAGATCTGCTTGTCTGATGGTGCCCAAGACAAGCCTCACATCTAAGTTCCTTTGCTTATTAAACCTGCCACCTCCTGATCTGGAATGGTTTACCTCTTTCTTTGGTCTCTCCTTGCCCTCCATGTATAGGAACCAGTTTCAGATTTCATCCAGGAAGCTCCCAGGTCTTGAATTATCCGCAACAGCCAAAAGGTCAATACCACCCAAATGTCCATTAACAATGAATAGATAAACAAAATGTGGTGTATTCACAAAATAGAATATTATTCAGTCTTAGGAAGGAATGACATTCTGACATGGTATATAACATGGATGAACCTTGAAAACACTACTTATAGTGACATAAGTCAGACACAAAAGGACAAATATTGTAAGATTTCAGTTATGTGGAACAAGGCAAATCACAGAGACAGAAAGTAGCTTAGAGGTTACCAGGGGCCAGGGGTGGGATGAACAAGGGGTTATTCTTTGACGTGTAGAGGGTTTCTGTTTGTGGTAAGAGAAATGTTTTGGAAATAGATAGCAATGATGAAGGCATTGCGCTGTGAAGGTAATTAATGCCAATGAGTTGTACACTTAAAAATAGTTAAAATGACAAATTTTATGTTATGTAGCTAGCTAGCTATAGCTTCATCACATATATATATATATATGTCTACATTTTTAAAAAAGGTTGGAGTACTTGCCAGAGTCACACAGTGAGTACGAAGAGGAGAGAAGCAAAGCCAGATCTGCCTAAATCAGCTACCTTAAGTGCCATCCTGTTCTACCTTTCCGTCCTCTCAAGTTGGGGGAAATTGCAGATTGCAATGTGGACACACACTTCACATTAATTCCTTATCTTGTGTAGAAAAGATCTCTTAGATCTAACTCTTGCTTTCTTGTCTCCTGCATCTAGCAACTGAGAAAAAATCATCACTTTTCATGACCTTAGAACTTGTAGTTTAAGAATCTTACCTCGCTCCTTCATCACCCCAACTGTTGAAAATAAGAAGGCTTGGATATGTTTTTATTCATACCATAGCCTTACAGGAGCACAGACATTATACCATGTCATTAACTTCCTATTTTCAATATTCATCCTTTTAAAAAAGTGGATCTATCAGTCCTGATTCTGTGGGAGTGTGGATAAAGTGAAGGTTCCCGTGGCCAGAATTCTCACCTGGCGCTGGCTGGCTGGCTCAGTGCACATGTGTTGGCTATACATCATTATTGGCTCTATATAAAGAGCTCTGCCCAGTGCTCTGGGCGACCCAGTGGCGCAGCTGCAGGAGAGCAGAGACGAGACTGGAGTGGTGGCAGCGCCGAGGACAGAGACTGAGACGGCTGCAGGGGTAGAGAGGCCCAGAGGCAGAGACCGGCTTGCTGCCTGCAGACTCGCTCTGAGTGGATGGGATTCTAGTGACTGATCTGCCTCCATGGAAATAAAGCTGGGTATAACCCTTTCACCCCAAGAACATTTTCTACTGTCATTTCTCTGGTCACATTGAATCCATAGTGAACTTGTCCAGGGCTGAAACCCACTGGCAAGACAGGGAGATTTCAAAGCTGTAGTCTCTGCCAGAGTTAAACAAATAGTGTCATTTGAACATATTCTTTGTACTTGTATTTAAGGGGAACAAAGATTCAAAATTATCAGGTTTTCCTGTAATATTTAATATTTAGCATTAGATATTAAACATTTAGTATAAACTATTTATTACTTTAATATTTAGTATAAAAATAGTAACAATTGAAAAGCCTAGTTTCTGGCCTATGTTCTCCCATTGACTGAGTGATCTTGGAAAGTGACTGACACATAATCAATGCAGAATAAATCATAGTTGTTGTTATTGTTAGTGAATGTCAGAGATATCTGAGTCTCTATATCAATTAATTAAAGCATTTGGATTTGATAACCTCTAAGGTCCCTTTCTACACATATTTTCTGGAATTCTATTTTTTTTATGAGAAAAACTAGAAAATCACTCTGCAAACCTATGCTTTCCAACACCTCTCTGGTTCTTCACTGGGGAAAGTTTTTTTTTTTTAACTTCCAAAGGTTGCTCTTGTTGTTAACTGTAACTTATTGTTTTCCCACACTTGGGCGGCTTTTTCTTCCCTGGTCCCATTACCCCTCAGGAGAAATTGACACTTCCATGGCTTGGTGAGTGGAGTGTGAAATAATTAAATGTGACAAGCCTATCGCTTTCAGATTGAGTCCAACTCCCAAATAGTGGGATTGATTTTCCTCCAACTTATGACAAGAAATGGGTCTGACAAGTTACCACCCAAAAGGAGGCTTTTCAGAGAATTTTAAGCAGGTGAAAGTTGGGTGTATAATGAAAACTGTCCTTCATGCTGCAATGCAGCTCACGTGAGTTGACTATATAACTCATCTACATGGAGCCAGACCTGTCATTTGTACTAATTAAGGAAAGGCCAGTCTAAACTCCAGAAGTGCATGTTTTAGAATTCAATTCAAGTCCCTACAGGGACATGCTGATGGAAATACAAAAATATTCATAGGTGAGTAGCGTGTAACATGCTAGTTAAAGCACAGTGTTTGAAAATTGCTCTCTTAAGGAGTGTAATCATTCTGTGTACTCCAGGGTGCAGCTTTCACTTATGTGGCAAAGCCTGAAAAGAACTGTATGTCCTCGGAATTAGTGGACTCCAGAAATGACAACGTTAGGTGGCAACACATGTGCTTCATTTCTCAGGTTTCCATGTGAGGATCTTGTGGGAGCATAATATTCCTTGTGGGAGCCTCTCAATGACCCCCAAGGGAGGATAAGTGACATCTGATTGGTGGATTCTGCTGAATGAAATGGGTGTGCAAAGCCTAATGTATTTTTGTTTGTTTTTTCAGGTCCGCCTGTCTGTAAGGAAGGTGCTTTCTTAGCTCCTCTTTGCCATGTGCTTAGTTGGGAAGGTTCTCTGTCTGGAGTGGAGGCTCTGAAGCAGTGACTGGGCAGGTGAGTTTGACTTTTCCAAGGATGAAAGTACTGGCAAGCATACCTGGGTAACAATCCAAAGCCACATATTTCAGAAGTTTTAACAGAAAAAAACAGTAAGAGCATGTTTCTTTTTTCTTTTGGCCTTTGTATCTATCTTTCACTTGTTCTAAACACAGGTGGAAAATAGGATGTTATTTATTGGAACAAATGTATTACATAGTGTTATCCAGGATATGAGGCTAAAATCAGTTTTTTGTGTCTCCACGTGGACTGGGAAAGACTGAATATGTAAATTTTGTACACATTCATGTAAAGGTCACAAGCTTGAGGGTTGGGAGATCCAAGTTCAAGTTGAGTCTCTAAGTGGGAGGCAGCATGGATTCTGGAGCCAAATCTGCCGGCATTAGCATCTGAGACCTGCCAAGTGGTAGGTTTACTAACTTTGGGTATGTTTTGTAATTTGCCTGCAACTCTTTTTCCTCCTCCGTAAATTCAAGAGAATACTTTGTAAGGATGCAGTGGAGTAGATGGCGTGGGACTGTAAAGATCTTGGCACGCTGCCACCATGTAGTAACTGCTCAGGGCGCTTTGTCATTAGAATGGGTATCATCTTTTGACTCGAGAAAATGACTTTCCCTCTGACAGCATCTATTTCCTCATTTGCAAAAATTAAAGGACCAGACTCACATGTTTATAAAGTCCCCGCCAGTCTGACTGTCTAGGATTCTATTCTGCAGACTCTTGAGAGTAAAAATGCGGTGCATGTGAACTTGTGTGTGAATATGGGGTTTGTGTGTGTCCTACAGAGGGTTGCTTCCTTTCCAAAGCTCCAAAATTTTACCATTACTGGAAAACACCAACAGAGGGCATCAGGATTTAATTCTGGGTGAGTTGTTCCTGGAGGCTGAGTTCTGGTTGTCTGGCAGGTCTCTAAGCAAAGCTCTTTCCCCACAGGAGCGCTGAAGATTTTGCAGTCCTTCTGACACTGCAGTAACCTCAGCCCTTCCTTCTTGTCTGGTGCTGGGGTGCATGCTTCAGTTTCTGTGTCTAGAGCTTCTGCCCCCAGGGTGTCTGCCTTTGCTTGGGATGGGGGGATGATGGCACTTGTGGAAACAGAACAGTGATTAAAGACATCTGAGCTCTGTCTGCTGAGTGCTGAACTAAGGCATGTGGGTTAGAAATTCCAGTCTATCCAAGGGCAGTTCTCGTGTCTGAAATGACAGCAGGGAACCTTCCAGCAGACATACAGTGCAGGACAGATGCAGCAGAGAGGACCACGGTCAGGAAAGCCAGTCTCTGCACCCAGTGTACTCACAACTCCCTGTAAGAAATGTGGCAAATAGCTGAACTGTTCTGTGCCTCAGTCTACCCTTTGCCAGAGGTGTGATGACACTTCACTCCAAGCAGATTTCAAGCAGATTTCAACATCACACTGAAAGAGAAGGGCTGCCGTTGGAGCCAAGTGTCCTGGTGTGATGCAAGAAGCAAATTCCCAGAGCCTTACTATCTCAATCTACAGAACAGGAGTAATCCCATCACAGATTCTTTTGGGGATGGTGTTGAGAAGCCATGGGGAGGATGAGTGGAAAGGCATTGTGGAAAAGTATGAAGTGTCTGCATAGAGGGTAGCATGTCGTCAGTGCCTGTAGTCCTTGTAGTAGCTCTGGTGGTTGGGCCAGTGTCTACTAGGTTGTAACAACATGCAGAGATGCTGGGTGTAGCTGCCAAGAGCACCCGCTGTGGAGTCAGATGGTCTTGGTTCACACCCCACCTTGCCATTCACCTTGCGGGTCAATTGCAATCTGTAAAATGGGAATCATATTAGTAGCATGGACCCCATGTTCTATGACAAACATGCCAGATGTCACATGGAGAACACCTAGTGCAGACCCTGGAATTGAGTGACTGCTAGTAAATTGTGGTGGTCACTGTTATCACAATTGTTTGTTTCTTCCTGATAAGGGGAGCATTCCTAAAGGGTATTGTAATGCCTCACATCTGGAGAACCTTTCCAGTGTGACTCCCAAACTGCTCCGGTACTTAAGGTCTGTGCCAACAGCCCCCAGCTGTCTACCCCATCATAGCCATAGGTGGCCTGAGACGATTGCATAGGACCTTTTGTAAATTCTGTCCCTGTTTGGCATCCTGGGCCCTGAATGCTGGCCACCGTGAGCCCTTCACCCTGCTCCAGCACCAAAATATTTATATTCTCAGGTAGCATTGTAGAGTTGTAAGGACCCTCATCTGGTTCAGTCCCTTCATCTGACGGGATAATCGAGGACCGAGAAGGGGAAGGGATCAACCAAAGGTCACTAGTCCACTGTAAAGGCAGGACCTGGATGGAATCTCACACCAAGTCTGGTTTGCTTATCCTTTTTGCTGCACTACACTGGCTCTTACAAAGGAAGTTAGTTGTAGCAGTGAACTCCTAGCAGGGCTTGAAGTTTGGAAAGAATGCTAGGACCTGTCTAGAATAGTCTCTTGTCTCCAAGATGACCTTCCAACATGCCATCCCAGCCCTGTGCAGCTCTGCCGACATGTCTAGCAAAGCACTTTGAAAGGTAATACATCACTGTATCCACAGGAAGGAATATAAGAGGAAGACAGGAAAGAGGGAAGAAAGGAGAGGAGGGAGAGAGAGGGAGGGAGGAAAGGCTTATTAAATTCTCCTACAACGGGCAGTGTGCTTGGACTGAACACACATATGGTATTTAATCTTCAGCACAATCTTATCAACTAGAAACTGATACCCCTGATTACAAAGAAGGAGCTGGTTAGACTAAGTTGCTTATGCTAGGATTCTCAGCCAAGTCTGTCTAACTGTAAAATCTGTAGGACTTCTGAAATTAAGCCACCTCAAACAAAGGTAAACATATTTTCAGGGCCCTGAATTTATCAACCACTGACTTTTGATTTATAGCATTTCCCTTGGCTTCTATTTGAGACACTCCTGCTTTTGGTCATTCATTCACTCCTTCTATCTTCATCTATTAAAACACCTGTTATATACCTATTACCATAGAAGATATGTTTGTTTTTTCTTTCCACCCAATCTCAGTGTGGTAGATTTGTCTGTCGTATGCCTGCAATGTGTACACACATGTGCACATAGAAAGTGTACCTACATTCATATGCAGATATGCAAATACATCCGGGGCTATATATTCCCACTGGCAAGCACACTGCATTTGGTGTCTTTGGAGGGGACCCAAGGAGTTTGAGCAGTAGAAGCCCTGGGGCCAGGCCTTGGGGCAATGTCCCTGGGGATTACCCAGGCCTTGCTGCTGTGACCCTGGACTGTGGGAGGGACTATTTGCTCAGACTCTACTCCACAGGGACTTTGATGGCAAATCAGGCCATTGTGGGATCTGTTTAGGTCTTTGCAGGCTGGCCTGGTGGGAGAAGAAAAATCAAAGAACACAAGGAGAGCATGTCACAGCATGTTCACCTCTCTGCACCTATGGGGGTATCATCTTGTGGTCTGGGGACTGACATCCTCTAGCAGGATCCAAAGGAAGGAACGGTGAGCAGTCTTGAAGTTCATTTAAAAAATTAAGAAATGTGAGCAACAATAACAATGATTGAAATTATTTATCCTACTAGATTATAATTATTTCATTTGTCTGCTCCCCAACTACTAGTTGGTAAGAGGAAACATTTACTTTGCCAGGCACTGAGCTAAGACCTTTATACTCATGTCTTACAATGGTGCTATGAAGCGAGTTCTGTTACTATGTCTCTTTTTAGAATATGAGACAACCGGAGTTCAGCAAGGTCCAGACACTTCCCCTAAGCTGCACAGCAAACTTATGGCAGAGTTTAGACTTCTACCAGGTTCCCTGCTGCCTGCCCCCCTCCCCTGCTGTGCTTCTGCCTTCCTGCCTCTAACACGTGACTACCATTCTGTTGGATTAGATCAGTGGTTCCTCTACCTAGTCAATCGTCAGCATCCTCAAGGTGCTACTGAACACTGCTAACACCCCAGCCTCTGGGGGCTTAAATGGGACTCGAAATACATGTTTTTCATAATGCCCCAGATAGTTGTGAAGGCCAATTAAGTCCTTACTTTAGGGGATTTTAGGAGACATGACCAGGTTCAAGATGCCATATATCCAAGGTCCTTTTACCTGTCATCTGGGAGACAAGAAAAGTGGGGATGGGCCCCATGGGGAAACAGCTGAAATAGGGTGTCAGCTCTCCCCCAGCGGGCCTGCCCATAAATCTCAGGTTTTTGGGACTGGAGCCAATGCAGATCAGAAGCGTTTTCCCCTCGAAGCGTGTAACGTCTGGGTATGTCAGGTGAGTGGGGAGCAAGACTCTACAGGCTTCGGAGGCTTCGGACGGCAGCAGCTCACCAAGGTTCACAAAGCACTCATTAGCCAGTCTTGCAAACTGTTCAGAAATCATTTTCTCTGAGCACTGATGTTTGGCTCCCCTAGACAGCTAGTTGCTGGTATCCCCTTCCTCCTCCCACAGCTCCTTGGGCCAGTCTCACCTTCCTAGACTGTTCTCCCAAAGCAAGGTGGCCATCTGGAATGAGCTGAGACATCTGGAGTCCAGTTCCCGCTCTGTCTTTCACTGTCCCTGTCATCCAGACAAGTCTCTTTTCTTCCCTCACTCCTAGATCTTCATTTGGCTTCTTGAATTTCAAAAGGGGTAAAAAAACTAACACTTGTTTGCTCAGCTAAGACATGACCTCAAGTCATTATAACCTAGTGTTCAAGGGCGAGGCTCTGGAATCAAGCATACCTGAGTTCATATCTCTTGTCCGCTACTTACTGCTGTGGAGCCATAGGCTAGTCACTGTACCTCTCTGAGCCTTGCTTTCAATAGCTCTGGACCATCACTACCACCAGCCCCACTAGCTTTCTCTCCGTTCCTGGCCCATGCCGGATCTTCCTCCTGAAGAGCATTGCACAGATGCTTCCCCTCTGCACGGCCCCGTCGTCACCAGGTGAGCCCTGCCCGCTCTCCCTCCCACCTGACATGGCACTCCTAAGCCTGTCCTCCACTCCTGT